AAGAGAGGGAATTTAAATATTAAACTTTAAGATACTGTATATGAAAAAAGACATTCTGACAGGATGAAAGCATTAACAAAGTTTGGCAAAAAGAATCTAACAAACTAGCTTTGTAGGCCACAGATGTCAAAGATCAGACATCTTTCTTCTACAATTTAAATGGGCTTTGCATTGATTCTGTAACTCTCCATATTTCATTTCCTTCTCCCTCACGCAGTAAAACTGGCAGCTCCCTAATTGGATTTAAATTTTAAAACATCTAGATGGTATATTCAAATTTAAATGTTGGTATTTTAATAATTTTTCTTCTCAAATGGTTATAAGAGATGCTGCAGTGCGGTGATAAATATAATATATTCAGTAAACCTACATTGACATCACATGGTAAAAAATAGGCAGTTATTACTTTAGATTCAGGCACTAACAGACAGTTATATGCTAAGCCACTTGCATATTCATGGCCTTCAGAAAACTTCTGTAATAAGGAAAACAGTAACTAGGTCTCATTCAGCTCATGTAATCTGCAAACATGATCATGTGTATCAAAACATCCAAATAACAGGTTGCAATCAACCAACCTTTCCTACCAAAAAAAACACAGCTTCTCTCAGTGGAATGGCTTGGGTGATTCTCCAGCAAAAATGTTGATGGTGCACAGGTGAGGAGGGAAAACTCTGCTTCTGTATAATTAGATACCAAGCAACATTTGAATAATAATTTCTTTTCTTTTACTCTGTATCAAGAATAGGCAAACTATGCCTCTTTCAGACATTGCTATAGTACAATTCTCAGCGTTCATTACCTTTGGCTACATTGGCTGAAGTCAATGGAATTTCAGCCCAGCAACATCTGGAGAGCCACACTGAGCCCAACGTTGCTCTATATCAAAATACATTTATATTTCACGCTCCAGGTAGAAATGTTAAGTCCTCATACATATTTCAAGCTTTACAACTTGCAAAGTTTCTAGACAGGCAATGTTGTGAGGATTGGTTTAAAAGATACATTACTTTGTCATTTGAGCATATTGGTTATTTTGTAAACACACCAGTTTGGTTGCTCTTCTGTTCTTGAAGGGTAATGGTTATTTCTCACCACTGGATCTACAGCTCCTTGTAGTATATCTTTGACCACTTCCAAGGGGCCCCGATGCCCTAGGACCAGGGTGTTTTTGGTGGGGGGAAGGAGAGCAGTGAGAGAGATGCAGGAAAAAAGGAGGGGCAGGGACATCTTGTGTCATTAACATGAACTCAGCTAGACTCACAGAAGGAAGCCAGGATTTAATGAGTGATGGCATCTTCAAGATCAGAAATCTACAAAGTGCTCCTCTATATGTAATTTGTTCTTTCTTTCTTCCTCACTTTATCTTCAAACAACCCTCTTAGGTAAGGTTAGGACAGAGGATGAGCCCAGTTTTATACATATTTGCATATGACATTTATGTTGATCATATTCTAAACTAATAAAAGTAATGAAGAATATAATTTGCAAGGGTCAAATGACTAACAAGATGAGAGAAGTAAATGTTTAATAGGGTGGAGAGATTGAAGCCATATTGCACCATGCACTAGATAAATTACATTTCAAGCAGCCTCAACTGGGTGATAAACTGGCACTGACAGACATCCTCCTCCTCCTCCTCCTCCTTTCTGTTTTCAAAATTCCCTGTTTGACTGCACCTCCACTCCTTCCTTCCTTCCTTCCTTCCTTCCTTCCTTCCTTCCAGCTTACAAACTGCAATTGTTTAGAGGTTATCAAAGTTCTGTGTTTTCTGAGAATGAAGTGAATATACCAGGGTATTTTGCTATACAGAGGAACATTTCTAACAGAGAGAAGAAAGAAGAGGAAACTATGCAAGGTTTTACCCTAGAAGCTGTGAACTCAGTTCTGATTTTAAAAAGACTTCTAACTATTTTGCAATGTAATATCACAAGCCAACAAGCAAATAGAAGAAATAATTAGTTTTCACACTACAGTAACTTTTAGATAAAAAGGTACTGGGCAAAGCCATAGGGAAAAGTGGACACAACTACCCGTATGTGATCTGTCCAATTAATTTTGAAGATAAATTCTATTTGTTACCTAAAGTAATTTCCTGTGGGAATGTGCCAAGAAGTATAATGAGTTTAGGACGGTGAGTCAAACAGTGGGTTTTGTAGCTAATGCAAAGAATGAATTATGGTGGAGTGCACTGCTCCACATTATTGCTAATTATTTGTTAAACATCAAACACATGAGAAGTCATCTGTGCTGCACAAGATTTGTATCACTTACCAAATACAAAGTAGCAAAGGTAGTGATGGATGAGATCACCACATAACTAGAAATTAGTTACAATGCCAAATTGCCTTCATCAGTATCTTTTTTTAATATTATATTCTCCCCCCTTCCCAAAGAAATATGAACATTTAAACAAAATTTCTATTTTATTAGCAATGGCTCCAAAGTCTAAATGCTCAAACTGGTTCAATTTTGCACAGCCTCCAAAGCTGTGCAACCTTTGCATCTTCACTCTGAAGTAAACCCTACTGAGTTCAAAGTGGTTCAGTGGCTGTAATCCAGAGTAGGCCCATTGAATCAGTGGGAATTTGGTGCTACTGCATTTCAGCCACTGTCATTTAAGTGCACAGAGGACTGTGTTAAAATGGACAGGGCACTACAAGATTCTATTAAAATTGAGTGGGGCACTACAAGATTCTGTGTGAGCATGAACATTTTGGATTCTGGTCAGAAATGTCTTCTTGTTTCACATGTAATAGTAGTATTCTATTTCATGTGGGAGTAACTCTTAAAAGAATTTGCAAAACTATAGGAGACTTAATTATGAAAGGAATTGTTTTATAATGAGAGCTACACCATTTGCAATACTTTTGTTAATTTAGTGAAAGTGATTTTTTATTAAGTTACTATAATTAATGAAATACAAATGAACATCTACTGACATAACTCTTGCACTTTAATTTTATTTAATACAATTGTGTTACAGTACTAAAATATGTCTGCTCAGGTCAAGAAATTGTTGGTGGAATATGTACTGTGAAACACAAGATCAACTCCACTGAATAGATGAACAGCATAGGATGGGAGAGAAAGTACTGTATGCTTGGAATCAATCTTCCTACTCTAGTTCTCGAGAAGGCGATACCTACAGATATGTTCAGCAACTCTCTTTCTAATATAACAATTACAAAGTTACAGACTTACCGCCAGATAGAATGTAAATCATCTGTACAACAATGCATCAGTGCAAAAAATTGTAGTCCAAAAACTAAGCTTTCTCAGATTCTGCCTGAATTTACTAGGGAAGGTCACAAACTTAAATTTCAAATATATTTATCTGCCTGTTCAAAAACTGAGTAACTGGGAATGCAATGGTTTTCACATGTATAGTATATTTGGCAAATTTCAGTATCAAGACCAAATCTGAGAAAAAGACAGAAGGAAAGCACAGCATGGATCTGTGCTCACAATCTAAACCCCCCCCCTTTTACATGCATTCTGGAGCCAGCTTGAGCCAAGATGTTTTTGAGGATTTTCAGTGTACCATTTCACATAACCTGATGTTAAACTCGGTTCAGCACTAAAACCTACTTAGCTCAAAAACAAAGGCAGTTGCAATGACAGCTCTTTAAGTTACAAACTGAATATATTCAGCCTAACTTCACAAGGTTGCTATGAACATACTGTAATATGGAGCTGAAAAAAATCTAATTATGTCACCTTGAGCTCCTGGGAGGAAGATCAGGATAAGAGTGTAGTAAATAAATGAATTCTAACCTCAAGATGGCATACGGTTTAATCGGCTTGTTTTTCTTAAAATTAATTAAGCATTTCATTGCAATACCTAATCCTTAGAGATTAACTGCAAGCTAGTTTTGAAGTCAGTTTGTATAATATTCTTTGCATCCTTCACCAAAACATAAAATGTTTTCATGTTAAAACGAAAATGGAAAGGAACAAACACCTTAATTATCTCTGTTAATTATCTCTGTTGTGTTAATTGAAGATATCATTTAAAAGGTGTCATTTATGGTATTGATTATTTTCTAAATCTAAGAGCCCTGATCATGCTTTCTTCTCCAAAACCATTCCCATTGGAAGATACCCTCCAGACTGGCCTTCAGACTTGGTTTCTTCTGCAATATCTGGACAGCTTTGGGGATGGCAGATTCCCCTTTGTTGCAGGTTTTTAGCCAGAGGTTCAACGGCCGCTGGTCAAAGATAGTTTAGTTGCAGGTTTCCTGCTTTGACAGAGAGTAGACTCAAAGACCCTTGGAAAACCTTCCAGCTCTATATTTCTATGGTGCCATGATTCTAGCCATTAAGTATTCAACTCAAGGTTGAAGTTGGTCTGGCTGGGAAACAAACAGACTGAATTACCTACATGCTCTGTGTGCCCTTTTCAGCATTCCCACATCTAGTGGTCTCTGCCTTACTGTGTATCTTTTAATTTTACACAGACACTATGAATGGTCTTTCCCCTTTTGGTACAATTCTCAGATAAGGCATAAGGGCTGAATGGTATAACTCTCTTTGCCCCCCTTTCCCCCTTTTCTCATCAGCTTTGTTTCAGCTGCTTTTAACACATTTATTTCCCTCTCAATTTCAAAGAATCACCTCCTTCTCCTCTCTTTCAAGCCCCACATTCTGTGGAACTGTTCCAACATTCTGTGGAACAGCCTGCAGCAGTTACTATATTGCTTTTTGTGTTTTTTCAACTCTGATTTTCTCTCCACTGCTTGTAGTCTAGCGCTTTAAAACAGCAGTCCACCCCCTGCTATATACTCTAAAAAGTTCCACAAACTTTGTCTACTGTACTGAGATAAACTTGTTAGTTCAGATTATTATTCTCCAGTGAGAAGACATCACCGTCTCATCGTTAAAAGCTTATTATGCTTTATTATACAAAGTAATAGATCTTCAACACTAGCCATCACCACAATCACCTTTTTCTAAAATCATATGCAATTGTTCTTTAGAAGAATATATAATCAACATACCTGGCCTTCCCATCTCAGCTTTTGATATCTGTTCCCTAAATGTTCCACTGAGAAAAGAAGCATGCTTCCTTTTAGCCATTGTGGTTCGTGGAGGCATGTATTCACTTTTACATTGTGACTTCTCAAACGATTTTTGAACATCATAGGAACCTGGTGGGGGAGCTTCCTGTAAGAGAGACATCACAAATGCTGTATTACAGCCGCTGCAAATTTTATTTCTCTGTGGAGAAACTACAAGCATAAAAAATCATCTACTACCAGGAAAAATGTATAGCCAGTTCATATAAGTCTGATATGCTATTAACTAAGCCAGTGGTTCCCAATCTTGAGTCTCCAAATGCTCATGAACTAAAACGCTAAGAAGCTTTCACTACTAGCTGTGCTGGCCAGGAATTCTGAGAGTTATATTCCAAGAACACCTGGACACAAGGTTGGGAACTATTGAACTAAGGGTTTAGAATGGAAAGGGTTTAGAATGGAAAGGTCTCATTCCACCATTGCATGCCATCATGCCAAAGGAATGAAATTGTGGTCCACACAATTCTCAACCCTAGAAGTATAACATGTGAGAAAACATGTGAGATTTAGCACAGTGTTCTGCAGCACATTCCAGCCATTATTGTGCTCTGTACAATAATGTTGCCCATTACAGTTCAATACTGGTGTATATTCAGTATATTCAGTGTACAGTTATATATCAGTTTGACACTGTATTAACTGTCATGGCTTGGTTCTGTAGGACTCTGGGGCTTGTAATTTGGTGAGGGATTTAGAATTCCCTGCTACAGAACTCTACTACATCTCTACTATCTGTGACTGTAGTTCCGTAGCAAAGAATTTTAAGTCCCTCAACAAATTACACAAATCCCACAATTTCTTAGAATGCAGTCATGACGAAGTGGTATTAAACTGATCTAAAGGTGAAGTGTTGATTGAACAACTTTTTTATCACAAAAAATATGGCTTTAAAAAACCACAAACACAATGGGACATTTGAAACATACTGGAATGGGTAGAATAAGAGAGAAAGAAAAACAGAGCCAGAAAAGAGACTAGACCATATTCCTTTCTCCCTAGAAGAATACAAAAAAATGGGAAGGTTAACCTAACACTAACAGTTTTAATATATACACACACATTTAAACAGAGGTGATTATTTACATTTATATACTGTGTGAAGTAATAATGTATTTCCTTATTCAGCAATTCTAATTTAACAGTTCTCTCTCCATTCCAATTGAGGAATATTAATTTATTATCCAAGATGAACCCGTTTACTTCAAATTTAATAGTTTCCAATTAAGCTAAAACATTTACTCTTCCATCATTTATAAACTCTCTTTCTGCTAAGTTGCTATATTAATATTTTTAATCAACATCAACGGAACATTAGTATTAATAATGATGATAATAATTCTAGGTTAACTATGCAAAGCTGCAAATAGCAGGCTTAAATTGTATGTGTAGTGAAGGCTCCCATCTGATCTTCCAAATAGTCAATTTAATTTTATACTGCACTGGCAATATTTTTTTCTCACATTTTTCATGCCCAGGAATAATTCTTTTCAGTGGCCTATGTTTTTAAGAAGCTCCTGTTCTTTGTGAGAATCCAGGCAGGATGAGCGAGCAAATGGCAGTTTCAATCTTACCTTTTCACTTCCCCCATCCCACGCATAGCTCTTCCCAGGGCTAGCTCATGTGCTGAATAGTTTTGGGGGAGGTACACCTCATACTCCAATCTTGAGCTACCCAGAAGCCCATTTTCAGTTAACAGTAGAAGGAAGAGGGGAAGTGGTCAACCATACTTCCCAAGGGAATAGCAACAGAAAAATCCCTGTCTTGAGTCCTCACCAACTTTAAACACCGTATGTTGGTTAAGCCTGAAGTCTTCAGTGTTAAGTATATGATAGTTTGCAATGTGTCATTTCCAGCCAGTTGTTTAAATCAAACAACCTAATCTGAAGAATAAAAGGTATCATTCTCAACAGTGTGCCACCATCAGATCTACCCAAAGGATCGAACTTCAGGAAGCCCAGCAGCATTAGCTTCCTTGCAAAATCAGCTAGAATCAAGTAATACTTCTAGAGCTCCATAAAAAGTTGTCTTGTCTGACAATTAGTTCAAAGTTCCTGGCAAATAAAGATTATTGTTCCTACTGGCGTTCCCTTACTCTCCATTTTCACAGGAGCCAGGTCTCATTCCATCTTATATTTCTTATAATCTTGGGGAGAAAGGTATTTAAATCACTGATAACCAAGAGTTTTATGCTTCAAGTCAAATGCCCATTTCAAACAAGTTCCTATTCTCATAACACTTTCCATTAAAGTCTAAAGATTCTCTTATGCAACTCCTTAAAAATTCAATCACACTCCTTGTAGGTTTTGAACTCTGCTTCAAATATTGAAATGCACAAAGACTGACATGTAATTGTAATTCAATTTTATTCTGGGTGCAATGTAATCTTACTAATATCTTTATTAGACATAAAAGGATGAGGCACTTTACAAGGAGTCTATCATTCATTAATACTATTGAAGAACTGTCATGATCAAACGTTATTTTTAATATTTTTCATATATTGTATAGGATTCAACTAAATTCTGTTTTTCATTATTCATTGCATAACTTTAACTATGTAGATCACAGTGATTGTGGATCAACATCTTAATATATCAAAAGTAAATTTAAAACCTCTGGTGATAATTTTTGGCCTTGAAATATTTAAAAAAATCCTCTTAATCACCAGGTTTGCACATTTCTTATTCAACACTGTATGCATCAAATTCCTCAGTGATTATTTTTTTAATAATAGATACGCATCTGCTTCTGCATTAAAGAAGGGAATCACCGCATCTGAGTGCAATTTAACCCTCCAAAGAAGCAAGCTGTGTAAATATAAATTCCACCCTATGTAATAACCATGTAATAACCAGATTCACTTGCGTTCTATCAAAATAAACAAACATAACACAAATACTTTTTCAAATATAAGCCAAATCTGTTTTGACATTTGGTCTGTTATAGAAACTTTCAAGTTGATCATAAAGAGAAAACAAAGGAAAAAATCCTTATCCCCTAGTGAAAGGGTGACCAACCAACCAACCTGAGATGTGGAGACAGATCCTCATTACTTAAATCCCCCTTTGTGTACCAAGATGGCATCAGGGGTATGGCCCTGAATCCACTGACTCCCTAAGCTGCAACAGTGATAACAACACGTGGAGCTTCCAGAGAGAACTGCAGCAACAGATCTTACTTTGTTGCCTTCTCACTTTCCTAATACAGAGAAAGGAACAGGAGAAAAGGCCAAGTATGTCCAAGAAATCCTTCGGGAATTAATCCCCTGTGCTTTACTTCTGGCTCGCCTTTCCTGATCAGGAAAGGTAAACATGAAATGAAATCATGTTTTCTCATTTGGGACTTTGAGAGCTGGCTGAGTCTCAACCACAGGATCCAGCCAGCTATACCTCATAGGAAAGGCAAGTGGGGGACCAAATTTGGACTTGGGCATTCAGTTTCCTCACTTGTTATTTTGCTAACATAAGCAGAGATGAAGAGGACAGCACTGCTTTTACACAGGCTCTACATAGGAACAAGTACTCAGGTTTTTGTGGCTTTTTACTTGAGTGTAAAGCCTACGCACAAGTGGAAAAGTTATTCAAACATGTCACTGTTCATGTGAACAAAATAACAAGGAAGAAGTTGGGAGTAGCTTCTACCTGTAAACATTTTGGTATTTCCAGAACAGAATGACAGACTGATGCTTCTGGAAAATAGAGAACTGAAATACAGTACCCCCCCATCCACGTGCCCCCCCCCACAGATGTTGAAAAATGCCTATTATAGTAAACACTATTTTAATAGTGAATGCTATACACTGCATGGTCTCTGGCTCCTTCAATTGGTCAATTCTAGTGATGACATCATTAATATACTTTTCTCTAGCAAACACTATACACAGCACAGTTTCTGGCTTGCTCTAGAGGCCAGTTCTGGTAACTTCATCTTTAGAAATAGATATTTCTAGGAATTTTCTTTTAATATTTTTAATATTTTCATGCCATAACTACAGGACCCCACTGCAGACAGAATTAGAAATAAATTTGTACCTCCCTTAGAAAAAGTCCTATGTAGCTTTTGGGCTTCACTATAAGATCCACAGTAGAGATGGGGGTGAATACATAAATGGATCAGGTTTTATGACAAAAATAGCTGATTCATTAAATATTTGTTGTTCATCAAATTTTAAGTCCTGACAAATATGGATCAACTAATATTTTCCCATTTTTATTCATCATTTGTATTTAATTTAATAAACACCATTCTGTCTACTAGCCATCGATCAACTGATCAGTGGGCCAAAAGGCAGCCACCCACCCCCACGGACACCTAGCCCCACAGCCTACCTCCCCACTCCCTTCCTTTTCCTACCTTAGTCAGTCAGGAGAGACTGTAAAAGAGAAAAACTGTTGTTCAAAATGGTATCAAAACAAAATTAGAACATCAGCAGAATCTTACACTTCTTGCATATTTTTAAGCCGCTCGTTGGTATCTTTTGGCTAGTTGGCCAAACACTAATTTCAGTCCTGTTTCAATGGGGTGCCATCTCCCTCTTATAATCAGCAGAATACAAGAGAAACCAGTTGGCATGTGTGCCTGAAAATAAGCTTTGAATAAATAGCCCTGAAATGTTTTCCCAAGCTAGAGGCATTGTAGAACCTCCCCACTCATCCCAAGAAAATAAACATCACACCAAAAACCAGATGAAAACAAAAATGCCATATTTAATGTGTTAGGTGGAAAACAAGCTGGCATTCCTTTAGTTTGTTTTTTTGTTTGTTTAAAACATTTTAAGGGCCACTTTCTTTTAAAAAGACAATATTTAAAACTAAAAACAATGAGTATACAAACACTGTACTAAAAAAATCAAGCAAATACCACACTAAAAATGGTAAATGAAAGCAACACCAAAAACACATTCAAAGCAATAAGACATAACAATCCACTTAAAAACCCCTTCCAAGCAGAAAACATGGCTGGCCTCAGGGGTCAAGAGGCTGTTTCTTGTGACTAGAAGTTAAATGAATATCCTTATGTACCTTGTGTTTTGAAAGCTATGTCAAAATACCACTTGACATAGTTAAAGCATCAACATTAGGATCCAGA